CAAGCTTTTCTTTATTGCTGCTGCAGCAATTAAGCCAGTACGTTTCCCTTCAGTATCCTTCCTTTGACATTTCCATTCCAGTCTTACACAGGCCTTTGCTGTTGCTTTGGTTAATGCCTTGCATTTGTTTTTTAAACCAACTGCTGTGATTACAGTGGAGCTCTAGCTCATGATAGCAGAATCAAGGTAAATAATGCAGGAAGCTAGTTTATCTCAAAAATATGGCATTACACCCTGCAACGCCCAAACTCCTTGCCGTCTCCTGCCACCTTATCTGGAAACAGCTCAGCAGCTATAAGAATTTACATGGAGGATTACATAGAGTTAAGGAGAGATCATCTCAGCAATGTGGCTCTGCAGGGCGGCTTCCCTGCCCAGGAGGAGCTATGCTCAGCATGACCCAGGGATGCACAGGGCCAGGGCACGCCTGAGCTTTGCATCAGCATTTCCTTGTGGCCTCTCTGGCTGTTGTCCACACTCAAAGTCCCACTGCTCTACGGACAAAGCAGGCTGAGCCTAGCAAAAAAAAAAAAAATGTATCAGCAAGTGAGCAGAAAGGCAGCTTTCATGTTGAGGTAGGTGAGACAGGCAGGCACAGGATTTATTGTAATGCAGGCAGGACTAAGGTTTGGTCAGTCTTTGATGACAATTTCTCTTTTAAGATATTCCAGACATGCACTGAAGGTGCCTGTTTCTGTGCTTCTTGCCCTGGAGTTCATTTTAAAGCTGGAAAGGAATACAAGCAGCTTCTTCCTGGACTCAGTGTCTCCCAAGGTGGGCAGCAAAGGCAGCTCGGGGACACGCATCTCTGGCAATTCCGAACCTGGGCTCTCAGCTCAAATATAAAAAGTTGCTTGTATATAGCTAAAGGTCAGTGGGCAGAAGCTCCCCCATGACCACTCTTTGTCCCTGTGACTCAGCAGTCTGCCAGGCTGAGCCACATGCAGGCACATTCATCTCACAGGAAACTACCAGAGCATCTTCAGGGCCTCCTGCAGCTGGATGTCTTGGAGGTACATGGGAAGTGTACTCTATAAGTAAACAAAGTTGCTATTAACTTTGTCTTTATTTAAGATAGGCCAGAAGCTCCCACTCAGTAGATGTATGGCCCAGAGGATCTTTGAAAACTCTCCAGTGAGTCTAAGGGGTGATAAGCAGCAGTGCACACTCTGTGCGAACAGAGAGAGGGAGCCTGTAGAGGACCATGACGGATGGGCTGGTTGCGTGCGCACTGTGACAGCCTCACTCAACTCCACTTGATGGAAAACCTGCTGCAGTGTCACAGTGCCTGGGCACAGGGTTCACCATCACTGGTTGTAGGCATCTGTAGTGATGGTGTGCTGAGACAATGCTGTGGGCTCATACTAGCTACTTGCAAACTCTGTACATTGTTGACAATCACTGCTCCCTTTGGGCATGGCCTCTCCTTGGGGCTGGGCTGCCTGCAGGCTGCCCACGTCTGCTGTGAGCCAGCAGTGCCAGGCTGTCCAGTACACAGGGCAAGGGCAGGCACCAGGGGCACAAGGCAGTGCCTGTTTACAGGATCCATGCTTGCTTTCTTAGCAAAGCATGCCTCTGGCACTTCTGCACACATTAGCAAACAGCAGGGATTTAGTTGCGGAGAGAATCCAACAAAGTCTGCAGCCTGCAGGCATCTGGTAACCCTCCCTCTTCACCCCAGGTGAGTTAAGACTAGCTGTGCAGCAGGACTGGCTCATTGAAGCCTGAATAAACTGAGGCAGATTGGAAATGATATGTCTTGACTGCTGGTCCCAGTAGTCAAAGCCAGAGGAGGCTGCTGGTCTCCCTGATAGAGTGGAGCTCTTCCCCAGCAGCTCTTCCACCACCACTGCACGCTTGTCCCAGGAGTTGATACCCAGTGCCATCTCCTCCCCAGCCCAGAGCCAGCCAGCTTGCTCTGGTGCAAGTAGAGGACTCCGTGTCCTGGGCAGGTAGACCTGCAAGAGTCTGTTCTGTAAAACCTCAAGGAATGGACTCCGCCTGTCTTGTAGCTTTGGGAGACTCAGCATCAGCCTCATATGAGGGTCCACAGGGCTGAGTTGGGCTCCAAAGGATGCCGAATGCTTACAGACTGCCCTCCTGTTAAGGTGGTTTTTGTCTTTCTTAAAAAGTAACATTTTCGTTAGCAGCTGAGATTGTTAAAATATTCATAGGCAGGTTCTCTTAGTGCAGTCAGGCATGCTTGGAGCGCCACAGGACACAAGCCCTGTTTTTTGCCAAGGAGTATCCATAAAATGTCAGGATACTCGCTGGGTGCAATGTACCCTTGTAGGCAAAACTGAAATTACTAGACAGCAGGAGCAACTGTGTCCAAAATGTTCTGTCAAAATATTTAAAGTTGAAGGTTGGTTTTTGTGGAGTGATTTCGTCCCCCAACTGTTTTGAGATTACAGCATAGGCTATGTCACAGTCCCATCTTGCTTCCCATAACTATTCATCTACCAGTACTCACTGATAAGTCACTTCATCAAATGTCTCCTCACACAGCTTCACAGGCTGCATTATGGCACCAAGGAAAAATCAGCTTCCCCTATACAGTCACAAACCTGGGGACACAATTAATTGTGAGGAGGTTATTACACAGTACATATTCATATTGGCACATGAAACATACCGTATTTCCCCTAAGGCTGCTCAGAATCCGTTGAAGATGCCACAGTACAGTAAAAGCACACGTTTCTACTGTAAATGAAATAGTGATACCCAATTCTATATGTGGAGAACAGATTTTTGGCAGGAGGAACTTTCTTCCCCAGGATGAAAACCAACATGAATTCTATTTTAGTCCTTTCATTTGACTACAGCCTTCCTGTCTCTCCCATACTGATCTTACTTAACATCATTTAACTTAAACCGTGCCTGCACCCTTTGTCTTCAGACCATTACACTGGCTGCCTGTGCTGCCCTGGCAGTCAAACTCTCCCTGGTGTCTCGGGAGGCAGATTTAAGCCTCTAGTTCAGGACAGGGTTTTTCCATGTCTCTCTGCATCCCCGTGCGCATGCATTCCCTGCATCCTCCATGGCAAGTGGCTGGTACAGGCAGTGCTTTGCAAAGCTGAAGGTCAGGGTGTGGTGTCTGTGGAGGCTGTGCTGAGCACAGGGATTGTCTGTCAATACTATGTGCATCCCTGATCAGCCCTGCATGGCACCGGCAGGTGGGAAGTCGGGCCATGGTTTGTGGTGCGAAGGGTAACTCTTTTACTGACACAGAGAGGTAGGGACTAAGTTTGGCAAGGAATAGGCTGCTGCTGGCAGGTAATTTCTTAGAGGACAAAGGAAACTGATGTTCTTTCTGTGACACTGAGCTACACGATGCAGAACCAGCAGCTTAAATTAAAGTGTCTGTATACAGCATCCAAAGCCCAGGGTTACTGCATCCACAGATGGGCAAGTTCTGTACAAGAGATGGGCAAGTTCTGCACAGCCATTACTTGATACGAGGGACTGGCAAGCTATAAAACCCCAAAAACAAACAAAAAAAAGCATTTTCCTTACCCTGCAGCTTTGTATCTGCTGCAACAGAGGGAGTGTAGGCAGACATAGAGTTAGTGATGGGGGAAATCTAGAGTCTCAGAGGGTGGATGGGTTTCTTTAGGTAATCACCTGATACAACCCCATCTTCTGAGAAAGTGGATCAAAATCACACTTTCATCTGATTCCAGATAATGACTCTTACATGCTCAGTCCCAGGAAACAACTTAAAATTCAAGGCAGCAGTGAAAAACTATTTGGCCTTCGTTGTCAGAGGAAAGTGTAATTTTGCTCAAATTTTGTCAAAATGCTTCATTAAAGTACTTCAGACCCTCAGGGGTTCTGCAGATTTGAAAGCCAGCACAGGCCATGGCACCACCACTGACTGCCACCTGCACACTTCAGCAGGCAGCACCCTCCGTCTTGCAGACCGATACATTTCTTTGCGTTTCTGAAATCTCCTGCAGGCAATGCAGCCAACAGCTCCCAGCTCTGCTACCCGGCATGCAGGCTTCCCCTCACAGCACCTTCGTGGAGGTAACCCTGGCATCCCCATCCCGGTCCCCACCTGCTGCCTCCCCAGAGCCATGCCAGCAGAGCCAGGCTGCACTCATCACCTCCTGTCCCCTTCTCCCACCAGCACCTCCAGCTCCTGGGGTACTTATGCAGTTGCTTGCCCTCTACCTGATCTTTTCCCGGTGTCACTCCTTCAGTCAGGCTCAGGCAGGTGCCCTCAAGCTCCCTGATGCCTTCCCAGTACCCCTTCGTCTCTCTCCGTGTCAGACAGGACACAAACTGCTGGTTTTTTCTTTTCCTACACTGTGGCTTTGTCTGCTCTGGCTGCCTTCTGCTTGAGGAGTCACAGCACCCCCAGCCCTTGCTGTATGCCCAACCTCCTGATTCCCCTGTCCTGTGCTGCTGCTCCAGCTGACACATTCCTGAGTGCCACCGTGCACACCCTCAGCCCAGTGGGCAGCTGCCAGCCACCATCTCCTTGCTGCTCCCAGCAAGCTTGAGCCAGGCCCCACCCCTGGGGTGAAAAAACCCTGAAACCAGGCTCCCATCAGGCTCTTTCCAAGCCCCTCATAGTGCATCACAGGTGGGCACTGTGGCTCCAGGAACTCAGGGGAGTTTTGCTGCCAGCCTTAGCCCTGGCCCTTCCACATCCTGGTGCCCACAGGAGTGAAAGGAGGAGGATGACCCAACACCGTTTCAAGATGTCCACTGTGAAGGTGCTCACGGCAAGAGTGAGATTTCATCACCTGGCTTCATCTCTCCCTTCTCTCTTTCATTGCTGTCCCTCCCATGTTTGGAGCTACTGTGTGTTCGTAACCTGTGCGGGTGCTGGCTTTTGCAGCAGATGCTGAAACTTGGTTTTCTTCTCTTCTTTGAGGTGTGTGCCCCTCTTTCCCCAAATGAAAAGGAGCAAGAAAGAGAAGAAACCTGTATGTTTGTTGCAGACTGTGACTGGCTTGTATATTAATGCTGCCTTTCTCTCCTTGTTTTAGGGAGTGCTGCAGATTTTTTGGAGACAATGGCTTGACTTTGAAGGTGTTTTTTACCAAGGCAGCGCCCTTTGGTGTTCTTTGGACACTCACAAACTACCTTTACTTACATGCAATAAAGAAAATAAACACTACGGATGTCTCCGTGTTGTTCTGCTGCAACAAAGCTTTTGTGTTCTTGCTTTCATGGATCGTTCTGAGGGACAGGTTCATGGGAGTGAGGGTAAGTGACTCCTTATCTCTGTCCCCCTTCTTCCCCTTGCCCTTCTGCCTTTCCTTTTCCCCTTCTCTCCCATCAGCCAAGCTGAGCAGCACCGCATGCAGACAGCCGAGTGGGCGCAGAAATCTTTGCAGAGCAGAGAGGCATCCTTCCCTGCAGCCTGCCCAGGCACCTGTGAGCTCCCAGAGCCCCCATCCTCCCCAGGCTGGTGCATTTGCACATTTTCCTTCAGAAAAGAGGTAACTTGCTCCAAAGTGTGGTATGAAGGGTGACTGCTATCTCCATGTTGCTGTGGACGTGCTTCAGCCTTTGCTGGCCCCTTCTGAGCGACAGTTCCCAGGCTGTGGCACCAGACCTCGTCATCTCTATCTGCACATTCCTGCAAGTACCCGGCTGCACACAATGCACTTCTGGTCCCAACCTGTGAATGTAATGGGTCCCTCGCCTGTCTTACATGTGACAGCAGGCTTGCAGGGTGTCATGGTTCTCCTTTGCACCCGTGTCAGCCAGCAGCAACGGTGCACCTTTGCACCCGTGTCAGCCAGCAGCAGCAGGGGAGAGGAGAGCCGGCATGCCCCTGCCTCTGCAAGTGTGCATCGCTAATGGAGGACTGGCATAATGTTGTTAGGACATGAGGACTTGTGCCTGGCCAGCAGCTGTGGGCATGGGGCCAGGCAGAAGAGCAGGTCTTGCTCCCCTGGAGCTGCTGTCCCGGTGGCATCCCAAATGTTTGCTTACACGCTTAGTCCTACACCCTGCCCCAGTGACCCACCTCCCTGGGGCCGAGGGGTTCTTCCAGAGCCAGGAGATACTGCAAGGAAAAGGCACCAGTGAGTCCCTCCTGCCTCACTGCAGTAGCAGGCACTTATTAATGTTAACAGGAATAATGGTAATAATACCTCTTTTCCAGCCACCTTTTGAGGAGATCTCTGCTCACCCACCCAAGCAATGCTTTCAGTTCTTAGAGGAGTTTGTTAGCCCTTGCTGCATGGAGCAATAAGAGTTAACTTTTGGGGAAGTGCTCCTCTTGGGTGGGAGAGTTTGGCCAGCCTTGTGGTGGTGGCAGCCAAGAGGCCGCCCCAGGGAATCGTTGCAAGCCCCCGCCTGCCCAGCTGGTATCTGCACTTGCCCACCCCACCTGCCTAGGTAGCTGTACCCTGAAGACAAATTAGCTGAGATTTCTGAGTACAGAAGCAAGGGCGTCCTGAAATGATCCTGGAAGCAGGAAAATGTGGCTGTTATCCTAGCTGGATGTGCTGGCAATTTTGATAAGAGTAAAAAAAAAAAAAAAAAAAAAAAAAAACATTTTTTTTTTTGCCTCTGTTGTGACCTTTAGCTGTTTTGTGGCGTTCTCAGCTGTAGTGCTGGTGGGACACCAGGAGAGGAGGTGTGTGGAGGGTTGACCACCGCTCTCCTGTACCTGCAACTTGCTCCTTGGTCTGAACATGCTGTGCCTCACCACTGGGTATGGCTGAGGTCTGAGGGTAAAGAAGCCAACCTGGATGTAGGGATATCCACATGCTGGAGTGGAGTCACTTCTTGTGGTCTCCTGGGTACATGGCTGTGCGTGAAGAACTGGGGCGGTCAGGGGCTCTCCAGCAGGTTCCCAGCCAGGCTATCTCTTGTGCCGTGGCAGGTGACAGGCACTGATGCTCTGGATTCACCACTTCCCAAAGGAGCAGAAGAAGTGGAGGGAGCAGGGAGGCAGACCCAAGTGGTGGTCTTGGTCATGTCCAGCTGGCCTACATTTTTTATCAGCACTGCCTTGGGAACGGCTGACCTGCTCAAAATCCCAGCAGCTATGAAGCAGAGATGCAGAGCAGGGGCCAGGACAGTGGGGGCTATGGGATGCTCCTGCTGCATCCCAGCCTCTCACTGTGGCATCTGGCAGTGACAAGGGGTAGCAGGTTTGGGATGGGTGGGACTTCCTGAGAAGCCACTTCCATGCCTAAGGAGGAAAATGGCCATCTCCCACCTTCGTGACCTGGCAGCAAGGGGCTTGGGCACAGAGGTAAGGGCCTCACAGGGGGACTGATCTGTTTGTTCTTGAGCAGATGTGTCATCCTGACACATGGCAAAACGTGAGTGAGGAGGTGCTTGTCCCTAGGGCCTGGCAGGGCATGGGGCAGCGCAGCAGTCCTGCCGCCCAGCTTTGTGTGGCACAGTGCAGGTGCTGGGGACATGCCTGTCTGTGGAGGAACGTTGTGTGAAGTCTCTTGGCGAGATGCATTTTCTTCCTTCTTTCCTCCATTTTTGTGGATGAAGCCCACATGAAAAGCAAGCAGCAGCAAGGGTGGCACTGCCTGGCATGCTGGGTGAGCTTCAGCTTGAAGCCCAAAACAAAGCCCTCTTCCTGGGACTGGCAGCCAGGAGTAGGGACAGCTGCTGGGTATCTGCAGAAGCAACCTAAGAACTGCGAGCTAGGACACAGCACAGCCTCAAAGCTTGTGGTCCTTCGGAGCCATGCTGTGTCAGAGCTTCTGACTCTTTTAGAAGCACTCTTTGAGAGGGTATTTGGCAGATGAGGCTGAAATGGGGATAGTGCCTTACCCTGCCTAAATCAGGAGCCTTCCCATGCCCCCTCCCTATTCACTTGGCAGCACAGCAGTTCGGATACTGCTGCAGCAAATCTCTGACTGCATGTTTGGGTGTCCCTGTTCATACCCACTTAGAGGGAAGGCCAGGTGAGAAAGAGAGCAGCTCACTGGGGTTCAAGCACATAGAAGTATCCTACTTGGCCTTCAGGATTGTAACTGCCAGATCTTCAAGCACTTAAATCACAATTTGGCTGTAATTTAAATGTAAGAGCAAACTGCAAAATCCCATCCTCACCACTCAGGCACTTCTAAGTGTCTATATCTCCTATAATGAAGTTGCACTTCTCCCCCTTTCCCTTCACTGAGCCCAGAGCACAGTGTGTCTGAGCTGTGAGCTGTCATATTGCTTTCAGAGAAGACACACATGTAATGAAGCTGTGAGTGCCTGAAGTGTTGCCTCTGCAAGCCCTGCAGTGCTGAGGCATTTGCAAGTAACCACAGGCTGTGGCGTGGTGCAGTGCAAGCAGCCTGTCACTGCTGCTAATGACGTGCTTGATAGGCAGGCTGAAAGGCTTCCAGACAAAGTATATGTGACATGCCTGGCGTGTCAACAGGCAAGGCCAAGACTCATCTGACTCTTGTGACATGCTTGATAGAAGAGGCAAGGGCATCTGCCCCAGCAAAACTGTTTGCAGACTGCATTTATTTGCTTTGATCTTGGACTTTGGTGTTTCACTCAGTGCTGCAGTAAATAAATCAGCTCAGGAGCCAAGAGAATCATCGCTTGAAAGTACCTCTTGTATACGTAACCTAGAGATAAGCACACCTGCCAGTGGCACTTGGAAATAAACACACTACCAATCCCAAATGGCAGCCTTCCTTTCCAACCAGGCAGAGCCCCAGCCTCCCAGGAGGTGCTCTAGAGTCAGACAGCCCCTCACGTTGAAAGCAAAACTGGATCTTTTCTTATTCTGCAGTTCATTAATGCACCCTCCAAGTTTCCACTGCACTGGAGTTGCAGCTGCCAGTGGAGGCTCAGGCAGGCTCCCTTAACTGATATCGCCTGAGGTACTCACAGATTTGCCACAGCTTGGCGTGTGGCTGTGGTCTCTACCCAGCTCTCCAGTGAAGGATGGACAAGCGCAGTGCATCTTGGATGGGAAATGGCCATGCCTGGAGCAGATGCTACAGGAAATGTTGCATCTTCCACTCTTTGTCAACTACTCTGTAGCACAGGTGATGTTGTAGATCTGGAGTTGCCATCTTTCAGATAAGCCTGAGTCATGCATCTTGACGCTCTACAAAAAGCCATACTGAGTCAGAGCAAAGGCGCATCTGCCCCATGAGCCTGGCTCCAGCAGCTGCCTGCAGTGGATACCTAGAAAAATCTGTGTAAACAGGAAACACCTATAATGATATTGTCTCATGAGACTTTCCAGCCTCCAGCAATTTGAAGCTCAAGGACTTCCTGAGATGGAAGCAATGTTCCTATAGTTAATGGCCCCTGATGGATATTTTTTCTTCCATGAATTTATCCTTGTAAAATTTGCACATCCACAGTGTGCAACAGCAAAGCTTTCCGTGGCTGAATTATATGTTGCGTGAAGGCAAATCTCTTTTCATTGTTCTGCACCTGCCCCATGCTAGTCTCATTCAATGACATTTTTTCTTGTGCCTATGAAGTCACACAGAGCATCTGAATTTGTATTTGTACACAAGCTTGCTGGCATGAGAGAACTGCTGAGTGCTGCTGAGCTCCTTCAGTTCTACCTATAAGAAACAGCCCCATGTTGCTGTAGACCCATCCATTGCATTTTTTTCTCTCCTTGCCTTAAAGAAAAGCCTGTCCAGGACTGTAGAGCACTGTTACATCACCACCAAGCTTTGCTTTAGAAATTATACCCCACAGCTGTGTATGGAAGGATCTGGTGCTGACAAGGCTGCAAGGTAAGGTGATATATCTAAACCTCTGCAAATTTGCAGTGCTCACACCCAGCCTTTGCGGCTTGCACTGGGCTCCAATCAGGTCATAAATTAACATCTTCAGAACCTGCTGCCCCGTGGCTGGGCCGTGCAAGGGGCTGAGCAGGTGCAGGAAACCCTGCCTTCTCCACTGCCTGATAAAGCTGTGCTCATGCAGCATCTTGAACAGCAGCTCAGCAGTTTCTAGGCCCCTTCTTGCTGAGACACTATTAGCAGCTATATTTTCATCACAGTGTCAGCTGCTACTGATACGGGCTCTTTTCTACCCTTGCACCACCCCGCCATTCTAGAGAAATCAATACCCTTCTGTTGGCAAAAATGGGGCATTTTTCTGTTAGGAGAAATTGGAGGTGTTGATGTCAGTGTGCAGGAGGGATCTGCTGGGTGACTGTGGGAGCTTTGTAGGTGCCTCCTGGCACCAGTCCCAGCTCAAGCCAGGGAAGAGGCTCTTGGTGCAGCTGGGATGGGGCATCTGGTAAAGGGGTCCCTTCCATTGCAGCTTGTTCATCATGTGGTAGCAGAGCTTGGTACACAGTCTTTCCCCTTGCATCTTCACAGCAGCCCCAGCAGCTCTGGTGGTGAACAGTAGAGGTGAGAGAAGGTCATTGCTCTTGGATGTGTAGGCAGACACAGCCTGTGGATGGAGCTTAAAACCCTGGTCTGGGCCCAGGAAAGGGGACAATTGGCTGACACTGAGCCACCTATGTGTCAAAATAACTTCATTTATCCCAGTTATCTTAGAAGCATCACTGTGACTGTGTAGCCAAAGGGAATGTGGTCTCCCTTGCACCACTTGGGAGCCAGGAAGCATGAAGCATGCAGAAAAAGCCCTTGTCACCCCACAATTACCACCTGGGGAGGATTAAGGCATCTGGCAGGACAGTCCCAGAGGAGCCAGGGGTCTCTTGCTGACCCTGCTGAATCAGGGCCAGCCTGTCCTTCACCTTCATGAATGCTACCTCCCTTCAGATGACCCACCTCAGGCATTGCTGTGGGCCTGGCTGGATGACTAAACCACCCTCTACTCTGAAATGACACTTCTGAGCTGGAAGGTAGTTGCATGAGTCTTATTCCCCTGTTTATTTCAAAAACCTTTTTCCTCTAAAACCTCCACAGGACTCGAAAGTCGTTCCTGCAAGCATCAGGGAATTATTACTTGTGTATTACTGTCATGCACAGGCTGCAGGGACTGGCTGATGGGGAGACTCGGTGACAGAGATGAATCCCTACTTCAGCTCAGTCCAAGATACTGGGGCCCTGTGCTCTGGCGTGTCGCACTCTTCTCCACTGCCCCTCAAGGCAGCCGCTCCTTCACAGCTCTGCCTGCAGCTTCTCTGCAGCCAGGGGAACCACGAGGGGAGGCAGCATCGGCTTGGCAGGTAGCCTGGGCTTGCTACGAGTTTTATACATAGGCAGATGATGCAGAAGTACTGCACACGCATTTCAAGCTGCATTCATGTTTTTCCACATTGGGGTCTGTCCAGTAACACTTTCTTTCTTTCTTTGTGTCCAATCAGATCGTGGCTGCTATATTTGCTATTGCAGGAATAGTTATGATGACGTACGCCGATGGGTTTCACAGCCACTCTGTTATTGGGATAGCCCTGGTGGTGGGCTCTGCCTCAATGTCTGCTCTCTACAAGGTAAGCACAGCTGGGTCTTTACCCCCAGAAAGATGCCCGTCACTCCTATCATTCACTCTAACTGCTCCTGTTTTACTTGCAAACCTTCATGCAGTTCAGTGCCACATGCCCTTCTTTGAGGGGTTCTGCCATAAACACACTGACTCTGTGACACTGCATTTGGGTTCACTTGCTTTGATATCTGTCCTCACTTAGGATAAAAACTCTTTTTTCCTGTGAGGAATCTTCTTCGGTGCACACAGGAGGACTCACAGGTGTCCCACCTTCTTGAAAAATGAGGCTGCTTTTCCATTGGTGCTGGATTTAATCACTCACTCTGGAAGCACCCTGCAGAGATTTAGCTTCTATTTCAAATCATTTTGTTACCTCCCCTTGTCAGTCCTTCTTCAGTGGCTTACATAGCCTACGTTAGGCTTAAAGTACTGCTTAAAGTGGAAATGTCGCATGCTTAAAATCCAAAGTACATGCCTATGAATCAAGGTCTCGTCCTGACCAAGTGGGCAAGCTGCACTATGCATAAGATGATATGCAGCTTTCTCTGCTGGGCTGAGACACGTATGTGCATTTGCCTGTGTGCTTCTCATGGCACTCAGAGTCACAGTGCACAGAGAGGAACAAGCACAAAGTTCACCCACCTTGATTCAGGGATTTAAACTAGGATGAGGTGTAGGCACCTCCATCTGGTCTAATGAATTGCACTGTACGAGCAGTGCAAGAGAGTTAAACCCATGTGTTTTCCTCTTGTAGGTTTTATTCAAACTTCTTTTGGGCAGTGCTAAATTTGGAGAAGCTGCCTTATTCCTGTCTGTGTTAGCTGTCTTCAATGTCCTCTTCGTTACCTGTATTCCTGTCATCCTTTATTTTACCAAAGTGGAGTACTGGAGCTCTTTTGACGTCATTCCTTGGGGAAACCTCTGTGGATTTTCGATTCTCTTATTGAGTGAGTAAATGGGGGCTCTTGCACTGCTCAGGGTGGAGGAGGGTTCCAGAAACTGGCCGCTGGTTGAAGCTGCAGACCTCTGTCATACTGGAGCTGTCTTCCCTTCTTCTCAACCTAATTATTAGCTTCAGAACTCATAGGATGGCAATGTTTTCATCCTAGGTGGCAATGTAGACCCCACTCCTGCTGTTATTACCAAGCCGAACTACTATGGTCATCTTTGGAAAGTGCTGTGGGACTGAACTGTAAAGCTTATCCTAACTCCTACTCGTGAACTCTGCTTCACAGAGACAAATCATGCTTGCCCAGACTGTGACGAGAACAGCCCTGCCAGCAGGGCATTACCTTGGGTTCATTGGCATCCCCTGAGCAAGCAGGTTAGGCCAGGCTGGTCAAGGCTAGCCTCTGGCACCTCTGCCAGGGTATTCAGTAACAGCTAATTGCTATTCCTGAAGAGCAGAAAACTTCTGAAAATGTAGTGTTGCCTAGCACTGATGGGAATTCGGTAGGTGGCACTCCCCTCTTCTGCTGCCACTGCTGTGCCATCAAAGGGACCCAGCTTGGGAGGGATGCCAAATCAAAGCTTTAATGATTCAGGGTCATCAGAAATGTGATGCTGTTCCTTGTTACACTAGATATGCTGACTTTACTGCCACAGTTGGTTTCTAAATTGGATGCCAGCATCACATATCCTAAAACATTCCTTTCATATCTACTGGAAATAGCCGATCTCTGTCCCTATCTTGAGTCCCAGCTCCTTTTACACTGAATAGTCACAACACTTGACTCTCAAAGTACTTCCAGTTCACTTAGCAGTGGACTCAATGGAAGGTTTCTGTAAACCAGTGGTGCAGAACTTGGCAAATGATCACTGGGGTGCACAAGATATGGGTACTACTAGAAGACAGTCAGATCCCCAGGTCCTGACAAGTTCCATATTGGCAAGGCTCTCGAGTTTGCTAATCACCTTAAAACAGGGGTGATTTTGGTCCAAAACAATTACTAATTTGTCATGAGACACTTCCATGGACAGTGTATGGTATTACAATGAAGTGATATTATAATTATTCAGTTGTAATGATATTATAATTTCATCATATGAAATTATATTTAGCAAGTTCCTGTCTGGAAAAGGGTTAGATTTGCAGAATCTTCCACCTGCAGCTGGAGGCAGCTTTTCTACAAAAAAAAAAAAAAAAAGCATCCAGACCAAAGAAACGTTTTGGCTGAAATCTCCCAGATGAAAAGTGTTCAGTCTTTCAGCCGGGCAAAGTGGATTGGTATAGAGAGTGGGAATCGCTGCACATTACACTGAGAGGCAAGTTGTAGACAAATTTTACCCTGATTCTGCCATGGGACTCCATGGGGATATAGAGATCCAGAAAAAAGCAATGTCTGAAGTGGACAGACATGGAGCAGACAGGGGTCTGCCCACAGGTATCTTCCTTTGGATATCAGGAGACACTTCTTCATGGAGAGGGTGCTCAGGCACTGGGATGCACTGCCCAGGGAGGTGGTGGAGTCACCGTCCCTGGAGGTGTTTAAGGAGAGGCTGGATGTGGCACTTAGTGCCGTGGTCTGGCCGATGTGGTGGTGTTGAGTCATAGGCTGGCCTTGATGATCTCAGAGGTCTTTTCCAGTCTCAACAATTCTGTGATTCTCTGTGATTCCAGGAATAACATTACAGGAGTTAATATGTCTTCTGTCTAACAACCTACAGAGGGAGTAATAAAGCATAAATGTTTCAGATGACATTCCCTCTGTTTAGTTTCATTGTAGTAAAAGGTGTTTTTCTTTCCTTCTTCAGCATTCAATATTCTCCTAAATTTTGGGATTGCTATTACCTACCCCACCTTGATTTCTCTTGGAATTGTACTGAGCGTCCCAGTGAATGCGGGTAAGGATTTCTGCCTTTTGCTTCTTAATGAGTACATTATATCTTGACCTTTCAAACACACAACAGGGATAAAAGCAAATAGCTTCATTAAACATGTTCTGCATCTTCTCTCAAAGAACTATGGAGATGACACTGATTAAAAATGTATACTTTATGCGTTAAATATGTATTGTACAATATTACATGAATATTCATAATCTCCATAATTGCTTTTAAAATTACTGTCCAAAGAAGCCTGCATACTGAAAAACAAAGTAGATTTGAAGTCATCTCTCTCTGGGCTGGGATGAAAACTCACAGATGAAGTGGAAAACAATTCTTAATCATTTCTTCAAGGCAGGCTTAACACTAAATGGAAACAAATAAAATTGCTTACATTTTAGAACAAATACGTACTAGTAGTTCTGCTCACTTTGGTTAAATAACATTGCAGGTGTTTATGAACAGCACCGCACTACTCAATTTTTAGCATGGCCTGGTACATGTCTCTGACAGTTTTCTGAAATTTATCAGAAGCTAAGAGACTGCAGAACCCGAGAGCGCTAGGCAAGGGAATGCTGGGGCCAGGGTTGCCTCAGCCTTCCCCTGCCCAGCCACCTCTCCCAAACCAGGCTCCTAGAACCCAATGGTGCTGAACCAGTGCCACAGTGCAGGTCTCAGCTCCCAGCTTTGTGCTGACTGCATGCATGCAGAGCCAGGCATCACTGGCTACCCTTGCAGACTTCAGTACTGAATGGTGTGATTCTGACCAGAGCGTGTGCCCAGCTCAGCATGCGCAGGGCTTCTTACTCACTAGGTCAGTCCAGGTGACAAGAAAAAGTTGCATGGGAAATGCCCCTTTCTCTGCATACCTGGACCTTAGCAGGAGTTTCTGTGCTGTCAGTGAGCAAGGGAGAAGATGCTGCTGCAGACAACAGCTGCAGCTCCAGGCATCATGTTCTTTTGTACCCTGAGCCCACAGGCCAGCTCTGCTTGCTCTGAAGGGGCCGTACCCTGCTGTGTGCTAAACCAGCAGGAAGAGCTGTCTCCCTGCCACCATCACCTCCATGGCCATGTTCTCCTGCCACAGCCAGCCTTTGGAGCCGGGGAGGTGAGGGGGAGGGAAGGGGATACTGCCCTAATGCTCTGTCCCACGTAATAACGCCTGTTCAATGTCCCACGCAGTTGTTGATCACTACACGAGTGAAATTGTCTTCAACAGTGTCCGAGTAATCGCCATCATCATTATTGGCCTGGGCTTCCTCCTGCTGCTCTTGCCAGAGGAATGGGACGTCTGGGTAATAAAGCTCCTCACGCGTCTCAAAGTCCGGAAGAAGGAAGAAGTCCCCGAGGGGAATGGAGACGTTGCTTCAGGACTGCCTAACAAAAGCCGGAGAACTCGCCCCTCCATGTCATCCTTTGCTCATTAAATGCTCTTTCTACCAAAACTTTGTGGTTAACCGTATATATGATGATGCAGCAAAGGTCTTTTCTTGGGAAGAAGCACACCTGTCCAACACGGTGTACATACCTGTACAGTTTTGATATGATCACCATCTAAGGCATCGAGTCTTGGCATGTCCAGTTTGCTTGTACTTTTTTCACATCAGACCTTTCACTTAAGTAGTACACTGAAAAAAACTGCAAACCAAGAACCTCTATTCTCTTTTTAAATGAATGTAATATATAGTCAAAATATATTTGCATAGGTTATTTTAAAGAATGATTTTCATGAGAAGCAGGGCAGACATTTTTGAACGTTAGGCACCGAATGATGCATTGCACACTGTGATTTAAAAGAAACAAATGCTATGCTACATCACACATTTATTTTTGACCAGAGCTGTACACTGAAAGTTTTCAAGGAACAAAAAGGGAATCTTTCTGAGGATGGGAAGATGGGAGGGAGAGTGGAAGGAAGGAGGTTTTGAAATCACTCTATGTCAATGAGTGCACGTTGCACTGCAACCAGGAGAAAATTCAAGTGCTAAAAATGCTTGCACTAAAGCACTAGAGAGAAAGCAGTCTAGCGCCCAAATCTCCTTTTTCCACACATGACTGTAGTCCACATTTAAAATCATGCAAGAGAAATCCAGTGCCTTCTACAGAACTCTTGTCTTTATCCACGCAGAACCAGGTCCCGCCGTGAGGCACTTGCAGTGGCAGGGCTCAGGCTTGTGGCCCCAGGGCACCCTAAATTCCCACCGATGGCAGGACATGCCTCCCATACACGCCGCAGCTTCTGTGGAAACGTGGGGCCCGGGGGACCGCAGGTTTGCACGCAGGAGACCTGGTTCTCTTCTCACTTGCACAGGTTTTGCCCCTGTGTGGAGCTGCGCTAGATTAACACCAACGTGAGGAAGGGGAAGTCTTGGTCGTGTGTGGGACAATCTGACCGAAAATGATCAAAGGGGCTGACGAGAGCGTGGTTGCTGATGTAAAGTCTGAGAACATGGACTAAGGGGGTGAATCGCCAGTTGCTTTTACTCCATAATTGTGAGTGTTAAGAGTTAAAAATGTAAGATATTTACATCAAATGTAACACTTTTTATGAAACTTGTAAGCACCAGGATGTTTACTTATGCGATTTTGGTTCGCCATTAAATTTCTATCTGTGATAGATCACATGCTATGTAAAAAGGGGGGGAAAGGTTATAGTTTACTATTTTTGAAGTTTACATTGTTGCATACAAAATTAAAAGTGTTCTTTTGAACTGCTGCCATAGCCTAAGGGTCCCTGCTGCCACTGAGGTCCTCTTTGTCTCAGGCAGGGGTGGCATCCACTTCAAAACATTTTAGCAAATCAACTTCAGATTCCATTATCTGTTTGGCAAAGCTAAATAATAAAAGATTTTAAACTCAGCCTCGGTCAATGCTATCTGTTTCTTCTCTTCACTGCGCCCTTATGCCACTTTTACTGCAGGCAGTATTTGGCCAGAGCGATTGGAAGGGAGAGAGACATCATCATCAGAGCAACCAAGGCTGCAACTCAAAGCACTACTTGCCAGTCTGTCCTCGACAGCAAAGTCTGCTCTAGACTTCCTAGACAAACCCATCCAGAGGGCAGATGTTGGGCATCAGTCAGGAAACACGTGTCCAGCAGAAGCAGACCAAAGGAAAAGCTGACCTTCCTTTGAAACAGTCGGTGAGCAGCCATACATGCATATGCTAAAAGGTATTTAGTGGCCACAGATGGGACATGAGTTTTTACATTAAGAATTGGGCCCTAGTCCAGGCTGTATGTTTGTTCCCTACAGATCTCGCCCTGTCTACACAGACAGTAAAGACTCGCTAACAGGGATTACACATGCAGGCAAAAAATTAAGGCTGTGGGAATCTGCTCACAACTACTGTCCCATTCAGGGTCACACACTTGCATTTTTAAATCTGTTTGTTTGGGAAGCAGGGTGGGGGAGGAGGGTTAAGGCACAGGACAGGAACACAGGTACAACTCTAATAACTGGTTTGAAGGGCACACACAGATGTGTGATCTCAAAGCTCCCAGATTAAAGTTTACTCCATCTTTGGGCATTAAAATTTTGTCATCCTTGAAGTACCCCACATCCCCTTCCCTGTATGAGGCAAGGCCAGATAAAAATGTACAAACAGTCCTTCCATTTTCCATATTTGCAATAAGTGGCATCTCCTGTCATCTCTGCACACCATTTCACTGTGCACTTGATGCAGTCTGGTAGGTATCCAAAAGGCTCTACATCCCACTTTAAAAGCTGCAACTAACGTGCTTATTGCTAAAACGGCAGCAGATTTTTTAACATTCAGTATGGATTGTGAGGGAATTTATGCACCAGAATGGATAGCAGCATCAGTAGAACTCTGATTTCCCCAGCGCAATTGTCATTGCTTCTGTTGGCTCATCCTTCCTGAGAACAGGCTAAAGACATGCAAGGGCTGGGACTTCAAACAGCACTTTATTACAATCTCTTTCCTGAGTGAGAGCTGGGCAAACTATATTTACCCATGTTAAGCAATTCTAAACTACACACAAACAATTAATCAGACTAGGAGACCTACACTTCTTCCAGCAACACCTTGCCCTAAGGATAAATACCTGACTTGACAGCGAGTCACTGCTTAGCAAAACGTTGCAGTGAAGCCCAGGACATGATTAGGAGAACATCAAGAAATCAGCATGTCCACATGGGTACGTGTGTGCACCTGTAGGTGCCAAAGCTTTGCAAATCTGAAGCTGAGGAATGAAAGGAACCGGAGTTGCTGGCTTTCACCGGTGGGACAAGGCAGAGAGCAAACCCTTCTGAGAAGGCATTAGATGTAACTGGGCCACCCTTCAGGTGAAGGCAAGATTGAACCTTCCTGACCTTGGACTGCTAAAGGACTCCCAGGACAAATTCAGTGCCTTGGAGATGAGGGCTGCATTGTGGCAGGCTCCCCTGCAGGCTCCCCTGCTCGCCCTCACAGGCCAAAGCACTGGGTGCAATCTCTGCGGCACCCTGTGAGCCAGACCCGCTGCTAGCCTGTATGCAGCCCACACAGCTCTGCAGGGCCATAGCTGCTCTGCAGAAGAGAGCAACACAACCCTGGAACCAGCACTTTTAGTCCACCCTTGGCCACCTCAAACCTCCTTCTGAAGCAAAGAGCAGGTCTCTGCAGCATCAGGCCTTGCTGCCTGGTGTCTTTGAAGCTGATCTCCTGCATTGTCACCATGGGGCTCCAGCCCTGTCAGAACACTGCCAGCCACCAGTGTGCACCCTTGTTAAAGGGCTGACCTGCATCGGCAGCTTTCTGCCCCAACTTAGCCCTCAGAAAGTGTCTTGGCTTCTTCAGGAAAGGGGAAAAGAGTAACAGTCCAGTGGGCTCGTTAAAATAGCAAGATGAAAAACATTCTCAGGAGAGCAAGTAGCATCACCAGACTCCATTGCAGCTGCTGGCTGTCACTGCTACACAGTACAGCAGTGAGGAATCCAAGGAAGGAAAGATAGTGCTTCTCTTCCTTTGCACGTCTTCCTCCTTGGTCTGTTGTCTGTAGTTGTCTCCTGTTACTGCCTTTTTTTTTTTTCTTCCTTTTTTTTTTTTTAAGCTCTCCACAGTGACTGCATTGAGTGCATGAGCCTTTCATTAGCGTAAGAATCAGACCTGGGCTTATTTTTAAAAAGTTTCTCCTGTTCTTCTGTCTACAATGGTTGCACTTATATCAGTAGTCTTCAGAAAATAATTATGAAAGGCAGAAATCCAACTACAATACTCAGCAGATGAACAGAAGATACTGAAACCAACATGTAGCTTCACTGTTTTGAGGGTAGACTAGAAGGACCCATAGATCACCGACTTCTGGGGTCGAATTAATGTTTCCTGTAAGCTTGGGGACAAGTTACTCATCCCCAACTCCCCAACTAGCTCTGTAACAAAGCTAGTGCAACACTGAGTTGGTCAGGATTAATATAGACAGAATCTTCAACCTACAGGGAAGGTAACATCACCAGGTTGACACCATTTCTGATCAAAAACCTTTCTGCTACTGTGCCTGCAGGCCTGCAAACCCACTGAAAAGTGAAGATTCCCCTGTGAAGTGAATACAGAAGTCTGAATCAACTTGCACAGCTCTGGATCATATTTCCAATAAACTCACAAACCTGCACAACAGAAACACATGTGAAAGACGTCTCCTCTTCCCTGAAAAGGATGTCATAGGTCTCCAGCACTTCAGAGGCCCTAGAAATAACACCAGTCACCCTCCCAGGCTACGTGGATTCAGAGAGCTTCCTGGGACTAGGGGGCTACACAGACCAGAAAGCAGGTCGGTGCTGGGAGTTGCTTCAAGGAAAGGGCAAAGAACAGAAGGCAGAAACAATGCAGCTGGTGTTCACAGCAGAAGTGTGTCCTGTGCAGGAGCACAGGAGAGATGCTGACGGGATCAGGACAGAAAGGCCTTTTGGGAAACACTTTCCAGGGGAAGACGCCAGCCTGCCTGTTGCTACAACTCTAGTTTGAAGAAATGAGGTCTGTGCATATGCTCTAAAGACATAAACTATGTGGAGTTTGGCTCCGTGTCCCTGATATGTACTGCAGAAAGGATGGAGTCCTTCAAAGCCTATGAACCTGAGCTACTCCTTGGCAAAGGCCAAGGCTGAGAAGCTCCTTTCAGAGTCCAGTCCTTGTGCAAGCTGTCTTTGGAGAAACTGCCAGCAGTAATGGATTCTGATGGATGAGTTTAATTAGCTCGCCATCATGTAAGAGAAACAATTAGATTTTTCTTTAGCTGGCCTGTTCTAGGGCATTTTCATAACAACCTGCACCTTATCTAAAAGTCCTGAATATCAAAAAGGAAAAAAAAAAGAGCTGAACAACCTTGTAAAAACAAAAAAAGTCAAATGAACAGATGTCCACCTGCAGCCTAAAATTCTGTAAAGAGAAAAAAATTACACTCCTGAGACAGGAGCAGTAGCTCAAGTAAGTGTTTCTG